AAATATTTGTGAATCTAAGACAAACTTAATTCAGAATACTATTCAGTGTGTAGATTAACAAGATCATTTGCATGTTCTCTGCTTGCATATATATATATATTCTTTGGCTATATGATATATGCATCACAGTAAAATGGTGTAACAAAATAGTGCTCTAGTCATTCAATTCAAACTTTACCAAAAAGGAGAAAAGTAGGATGGTTATTGATCCCTCACATGCACAAAGAACAAGAAATGTTTATTGCTCCATTTTCATCAAAGTTATTTAAATGACAGTGACATTTTAAAACTTTAAACTATATGCTTTCCACAGTATATTCTCAGTTTGTTTTAATTTGCTTTGTGGGTATATCTCTGTAGACTGAAATTCTTTTTATGATAAATGAAATATTTTTCAAAAGACAAATTCAGTGTTTCATCAACAAAATTTGTCACCAAGCAAATACTTGTATACCGAACAACAAATTTAATCTTCTGTTTACACTTCATGGTGTATTTCATGTGATTCACCCAAAGACTTCACTAGATGGTATATTTAAGTGATTAACCCTTTCGCTGCGGGTGTCACAGCGTCTGTGATGGAGCTTTCCGTACACCTCGTGCTGCCATCACAGCATATGTGACACAACATATTCTGCCTATCAATCGGTCATATTTCCCATATTTAGAACTTAATGTCTATTTGCACATCTTTATCCTTTTATTTCCTTCAGAACTAAAGTGTAAAACATTCAATTTATATTCGTATTTTTCAGGTATTTTATTTTTTATAAATCGCATAACGGGTTTGGAAAGTGGCTGCATTGTTGTCTAGCGGTGTTTGGCCACTCTCCCCACGGCCGGTTCAAGCGAGCGTCCGTTAAATTATATTTATTATTGTGTTCTGCATGTGTTATATATTGTTTTTTTCATTTGCCTTCACTGTTTTAAGAATTTACTATTTTATAGTAGTAAGATTTATTTTGAATAAATTACTCAAAAAATTCGCGCGAGGGGAGAAATGCACGAAACTTTTGGCGGGAAAATCTCTCCGGATGGTCAACGCGTAATCAGCCGCTAATTACCGCTGCAATTATGTCGAAGAGACAGAGGAACGCGATGATATATGACAGCGACCGTGAATCTCTGAGAGTTTCTGAAGATTCTGACGAATTTGATGCAGATGACCCTGATGAAATGAATATAGGTAAGCGATAATTGTTCTAGTGGGATGGAAGGAACACTAGCGCAGATGTGGAATTTGATCGTGATAAATTTCTCATATTAGATTTGAATATCCAAAATGAAGTAATTAGAGATTACATATCACATGACGTTGAATGTAATACAATCTATTATATTAGAATTATTCGATATATTCTAACCTATTGTGGGCCAATACATACACATGCTATTGTGAAAATATTCACTTTCGTCCAGACATTCTGATCCACTGATGCACACAACCCCGATGCTAATGTTCCCAAGTACCGATGTACTACAGTGCCGACGTTCCCCGGAAATATAAAATCAACACCAACATAGATTTCTTTTGAGACGAATCGAAGATTACTTGATTTATTGATTCACTTCGATTTTTGGACGCTTTAGATACAGTTCAATATGCGTTGATTTATAGTTTGCGTAAATAATCAGTGGGCCATTTGCTCTCTCTCTCTCTCTGTCTATCTGCTCTCTCACTCACTCACTCCCTCACGCTCTTACGCTCTCTCTCTCTCTCATACACTCTTACAAGAGAGAGAGAGAGAGAGAGGAAAGAAAGAGATGAGAGAGAGAGAGAGGAGAGAGAAAGAGGAGAGGGAGAGAGGAGAGGGAGAGATAGGAGAGGGAGAGATAGGAGAGGGAGAGAGAGAGAGAGAGAGAGAGAGAGAGAGAGAGAGAGAGAGAGAGAGAGAGAGAGAGAGAGAGAGAGAGAGAGAGAGAGAGAGAGAGAGAGAGAGAGAGAGAGAGAGAGAGAGAGAAAGAAAGGGAGAGAGAGAAAGAAAGGGAGAGAGGGAAAGAAAGAGAGAGAAAGAAAGAAAGGGAGAGAGAGAGAAAGAGAGAGAGAGAGCAGGAGAGAGAGAGGAGAGAGAGAGAGAAATAGAGAGAGAAAGAGAGAGAGAGACAGAAAGGGGGATAAAGAAAGAGAGATAGAAGGGGAGAGAGGGAGAGAGTGAGAGAGAGAGAGGGAGAGAGGGAATGAGGGAGAGAGGGAATGAGGGAGAGAGAGAGAGAGAGAGAAAGAGAGAGAGAAAGAGAGAGACAGAAAGGGGGATAAAGAAAGAGAGATAGAAGGGGAGAGAGGGAGAGAGTGAGAGAGAGAGGAGAGAGAGAAAGAGAGGAGAGAGAGAAAGAGCGGAGAGAGAGAGAGGGAGAGGGAGGGAGAGAGAGAGAGAGAGAGAGAAAGATAGAGACAGAAAGGGGGATAAAGAAAGAGAGATAGAAGGGGAGAGAGAGAGGGAAAGAGAGAAAGACAGACAGACAGAGAGAGAGAGAGAGAGAGAGAGAGAGAGAGAGAGAGAGAGAGAGAGAGAGAGAGAGAGAGAGAGAGAGAGAGAGAGAGAGAGAAAGGGAGGGGGGGGGGGCATAATTATACAGATGCCCTAAACTTACTGTTCATAATACACACGGACTTGTGTGCACAAATCCACACATGTCCTATCACAGACATTTATATACAAATTATATAAAATTACCCCGAAGTTTTCTACATATGAACGTATCAAGTGGTATCCATACAAATCCAGTTCTTATTTCCTTATCTAGCGCACATGGGGACCAGTGAGTATTTGCCCCTGGCTAACATACGAATCGGGGAATATAGGTGCCAGGAAACTTTGGTGCCTTATAGATACCGGGATGCACCGGTACCTAATACATTCTGAGGATCATCGGCACGAGGAACAAAGGAATCACATCGTATTTGGGAACATAGGTACAGAGAAGTATAGCGGGAGTAACCCATATCACACAAGCACATAGATTACACTTAAATTTACACGTTTAGTTATTGAAAATCTCTAAGAAACACAACCACTCTCATACACATACAAACAAATATATACATGCAAATACTCCCTGATAGCACAATCTCTAACTCATACATAAATTTTCTATTGCACAAATACACGTAATTTTGCACATAACTTCAAAATACACACACAGCCGTTTTAACACACAAACGCTCTTATACACATATGCAAATATTCCAATGCTTATATTTACAAATGTTCTCTACTTTCTACATAACATTCTCTTGTTCTCAGGCATCAACACACATTGCGTGTTGCCTTTCAAATAAATATACTTGAAAATACATTTCCTGCCAGATCTTTCATAAGTAACTGTGATCTTATTTATAGAAAGTGACGAAGAACCACATCCTGAAACAGGTGCGTCACATCAAGATGATGGAGGTGAGCCCGTCCTGGAGCAGCCAGATGAATGGAGGTTTTCTGAGTTCCGTCCTGTTCTCTTCCCCTTCGAAGAAGATGCAGGGATCAGCAATACTTGCTCCGTCACTGAGGACTCCGAGGAGCTCGACTTTTTCCTCGAGTTTTTTTATAATGCTCTCATCGACGACATTGTGCAACAGTCAAATGCATATCATGAATATCTGATGAACAAGGAAGTCTACCCACCAAGTTCCCGAATGCATCAGTGGAAACCAATAGATATAAATGAAATGCGAATATTCCTCTGTTTGTGCATGGCCATGGCTCATGTAAAAAAACATAGGATAAATGGCTATTGGTCTACAGACTTTCTCATAACACCACCAATATTTGGAACAATAATGAGTAGGGATAGATTTTTACTAATTCTGCGTCATCTTCATTTCAGTGACAATCAAAATGATGTGAATCACAGATTATCAAAGATAGGAAGGGTAATGATTGACATCAGGCACAAGTTTTCAATGAAATTTAAGCCCTTCCAAGATTTGTGCATTGACGAAAGTCTGGTGCTGTGGAGAGGTAGACTTGAGTTCCATCAGTATATGCCTAATAAGCGCCACAGATTTGGCCTAAAATTATTTTTAATTTGTGATGTTGAGACAGGTATCATCTTGGATTTTATATTATATACTGGAGCACAGACTGAGGTTCAGGTTGACTCAAAATTTGGTTTTGCTGGTTCGGTAGTCAACGCTTTGATAGAACCATATGTGTATGTAAATACATATATACATATATATAAGTACATATATATACATACATATATATATATTGCTTCCAATAAGGAAGGTTGAATGCACAATAACAGAAAATGGATTTATCTTACATTTGGCAACATATATTTATCCTTATAAATATTTTTTACCGGTTAAATGCTGATAAAATTGCACTTTTTTTTCTTCCACATGAACTTTCTTATGCTAATCTTTATAGGAAAAATAGTGTTATCCGCAGTTAGTGTAAATACAAAAATATTATATTTAATTCTGATGCCGCACAGACACACCGGCGGGCTCTTTAGGTTAAAGCAGCGAAAGTGTTAAGCCTCTTAATCCATTGAGCTTAGATATGCATTCAATGTTAATTGTGATTTTAGTTTATCATTTGTGTTTACATATAGACTAGATGTCTCCAAAAGTGCTTATTCACCAAAGAGTCAATTACTGGTTCTATCCATCCAAATTGTTTACCTTTATCCTTGATTTTCAGATTCTTTTAAATTTTTCACTGATATCTGTACTTTAATATCATTATAATCATAACATTTATAGCAACAAACCAACTGCCACAGGTTCATGTTCAAAATGTTGCCTGGAAAATGTAAGGTTCACTGTTGTCTTTTTTTGTGAAATGTAGCTACACACAGATGGGTTCCACAATTAGCTGTTTATGTGCCCAAACATGAATTTCACCTCAGTTGAGGTTTCAGGAAAATGTTCTTTTACCTAATGTCATTAACAATGATGCTGTTATCATTACTATTATTGACATTATAATTATTAAAGTGTTATTACTATTATTAACCCGATGCCGCTGGGGAAAATGAATAAAAAAATGGGAAAATGCTGTGCTCATTTTTTATAATTTTTGCAAAATGTTTCTGCACATAGATGGCTCTGCTAGCAAAGTGGACCAAGCTATTGTATTTCACTAATCAGTTGAGAGTGAATAATTTACAATACTGTATTTCAATCACTTTCAATTTTCATATTGTGGGGAAAAACATGCTTAAATAAAATTCTAAAAATATTTTGAAGTATATATTACAAAATTGTACTTGTAATAGGCAATTTCGCAAGTTAGTCAATATTGCCGTGAAACCATTATAATCCTTTATTTAGAAATAGTTTTAATTTCTTACATTAAGAGCAACTTTATGCTGAATAAAAATATAGATTTACCAATCCTAAGAGTTCTAATCTGCAAGTATATTTAGACCAGGATACAAAATCCTCTCCAGCTGATCAGGAAGTGTATAACTTACTAAAATGTTCATAAGGGATCTTTGTTAATATCTGTCCATCATCCAAAACTAGTGTGGCACTAAAAGAGTCCTCCTGGATGCTTTCAAGCACGGCTTCTTTCTTACGGTGTTTGCCAGCAAGAATCAGTACTTTCCTTTTAAGTGAGGGGATTACAGTCTCTAAAGCCATTTGATCAAGCTTAATCTTTGCGCCAGTATCTAATAACTTCACTATCGCACCATAGTCATCAATCACATCTCGAACAACTCCTTTTTCTCTATAATATTTGGAGCCTAGTTCTTCTGTAACAATTTTGACTACAATTCCTTTAGCTAACCAAGGTATCTCAGACTTTTCTTCTTTTTCAACTTTGTTTTTTTTGGCTGCTATTTGTTCCTTTACTTTTTTACTCTCTATTTCCTCTTTCATGATATCATCGAGAGCTGTTCTCTTTTTTATGTCTTTTCTGACTTTCTCCTCTACCTTTGGCTTGCTTTTTGGTGCTGCCATTAAAACATTTTTGTTCAAGCTACTTCCCTTTAGTGTCTTAGATGAGCAAGGAAGCTTCATATCTAAGGATATCACTTCATCTTCATTCTCTCGTTGCAATTCCTTGTATTCCTTCTCTTCTTCACCCTGCTTAGCCCGACCTAGTTCAATTTGTCGGTTGATAAACTCTTGCATTCTCTCCTCTTCATCTTTCTCAAATTTCTCACGTCTCTCCATTTGTTTCTGTCTTCGGATGGTCTCAGGATCCCTGTCGATGTATGCCACATACCATCCCTTTTCAGTTTCATCCACAAGGCAGCGTCCTTCTCGCCCGAGCCACTTGACAAAATCAGTGAGAGTTTCCCATTTTGTGGCGTTCATGTGCACATGGTCCCTGTCTTGGATGTATTCTTGGTACACATTATTGGCATGGACTCTCTTTGTGCCAAACCTTCTCTTCAGAAGACTTTCATATCCCTCAAGGAACTCTTCTGAGAAGCTGTCAAGGTACTTGTCAGGATCTTCAGCAAAAAGGAGGAGCTGTCGTTGGTGACTTTCGGACATGGTGTGGCACTTGAATCCGTTTTCATCACGACATTGTTTTTGACACATCTGACAATACCACCGCAATTTCTGAAGACCCTTGGCCTTCATCTTATTGGCCAGGTCCTTTGGTGTTCCTTTCTCTGCCTTCCCCATCTTGTCCTTGAGAGATGCTTTCTGTCGAAAAACAGTAAACAGTAGAGAGTACATCCCTTGCATGGAAATGTCTAATTTTTAACTTAGGAAATATTTTGGAAGATATATGTTATGATTACAAATTTTTGGTCGAGGCCTTAGTATATTATTAGTTTGGAGAATGACTAAATAATAATTCAACATTTGGCAAATTCTAAGGACAATTATGACTCATATAAGCTGCTAATAGTGGTGTTAGTATATACCTCTCTGTACGTCTGTCTTTGTCTCTATGTCTGTGTCTGCCTGCCTGTCTGTCTCTTTCTCTCTGTCTGTCTGTCTGTCTGTCTCTCTCTCTCCATCATTTTCTCTCTCTACATCATTTTCTCTCTCTCTCTCTCTCTCTCTCTCTCTCTCTCTCTCTCTCTCTCTCTCACTCTCTCTGTGTCTCAACTGCACAATAAAACCTTATAATGCATTCATTGGTAATTTCATCTTCTTGATTACAAACTTTTGAGTGACACCTTAGTAAATCATTTTTATTATCTTTTGGAAAATCATTTCTTATTGTATTATTATTATTATTATTATTATTATCATTTAGTCTGGTCTATCTATCTCTCTATCTAAAAACAATACTCCAAATGCATATTGCACACTGAGCATATAAAGAACTCATTGTCTGTAACACAATCTTTCAACATTAATTCAAAGTATGGTATTAATATTCTGTATTTACATTTAAAAATAAAGTAAACAATAAAACCTACCTGAGAAGAAATAAACTCAAAACTTTCAGCTTCCCTAAATGATGCCTAGAATGCCTCTGAAGTATGAACCTGAAAAAATAATATTGGTAAGTAAATTCAACCATAAAAATATGCATCTCAGATACTTTTAACCCATTACCGACTGGCATGCCATGCCATGCCCACTGTAAGTTAATTATTTGATTGTTTTTACATTTGTACTAAGCCACCAATGAGCTAATTACGAGTACTGCCTGTCTCACCCGTTCACCCTTTTCTTTAATTTTTGAAAATATTTTACGTTATCTTATTTTGCTGTTACTAATTTTTATAACATTATAGTAATTATAATGTTTATAATAAAAATAACATCATCAATATTCATAGTACTATTAAAAAATACATTTTCCCGCCAATTCAAGCAAAGGTGAAATCAGGTAAAGCAGAGCCATCTAGTGTAGAGACATTTCACAAAGAAATATAAAAAATGAGCACAGCATTTTCCCCATTTTTTATTCATTTTCTCCGTCGGCAAGGGGTTAACTTATCATATATATTAAAATAACAAACAAAACTTCAAATTCTAGAGATATTCCTAATAACACGAATGATAACAATGTTAACATAGTAGCTAACAATAATACTAATGGTATTAATATATGACTTTCATTATCTCAATGTATCTAAAGAGGTTATTTTATTGAAAAGACTTTCAGTGTTGCTTTAATCACTGCAAATCCATAACAGATGTTTATAATACCAAATTTATCCTCTGTGTCTGACTGATACACAATCAAATACATTCTATTCAATTTATAATATAATCAAGAAAAAAAAAATAGAAGGAAATTGGCATCATCCAAAACTATATAGTAACTTGCACTGACTTATCTAAATAGAACACAACCAAGTTTGGAGAATGCCTAAAATAATAATTCAGGCTTCTGTAGTTTTTCATTTACAAAACAATATCTACATGTACAAAAATCATATAGCACTATAACAAAGAATTGTGGCAAAAGGGTAGAAATGGGTCAATGTTTAGGATACAATGCATTAGTTGTCAAAGGTTGTACAGCACTGAAAGATCCCCCAAGTATTCATGGCAGGATACGTGTGGATGCTTTGTTGACAAAGGGGGGGGGGGGGGGCTGTGGGCTGCAACCCCCCAGTGTGTTCATTACAGTTGACTCAACACGGACCAATTCTATGTATATCATTTATGTCTTACTGGTATCTTTCATGCCCTCCCCTGCAATTGGGGCCAAGATTTGAGAAGTGGGGGTTTCTGAGGCAATGGGTAGTAGCAGTGAGTGAGAGGAATCTATCAATACCCACTATCATCTTGATTGCGTGAAGGTATTCTAAATATTGATTGTAATTAAGCTATAGATATAAAATGAAAAGAAAGCAAGACCAATCACAACAATAGTGATATCAATTGATTCCTCTAAGCCTCTACTACCCATATATGTAGGACATTTGCTGCAGAACCTGCACAACCCCTCCAAACCCCCACATTTCTAGCCTCAATAGCATGGGAGGGCAGGAATGGTACCAGGGAGATTGTGGGGTAATATATGTATAATATACACAAATAATATCATGCCATGCCCACTGTAAGTTAATTATTTGATTGTTTTTACATTTGTACTAAGCCACCAATGAGCTAATTACGAGTACTGCCTGTCTCACCCGTTCACCCTTTTCTTTAATTTTTGAAAATATTTTACGTTATCTTATTTTGCTGTTACTAATTTTTATAACATTATAGTAATTATAATGTTTATAATAAAAATAACATCATCAATATTCATAGTACTATTAAAAAATACATTTTCCCGCCAATTCAAGCAAAGGTGAAATCAGGTAAAGCAGAGCCATCTAGTGTAGAGACATTTCACAAAGAAATATAAAAAATGAGCACAGCATTTTCCCCATTTTTTATTCATTTTCTCCGTCGGCAAGGGTTAACTTATCATATATATTAAAATAACAAACAAAACTTCAAATTCTAGAGATATTCCTAATAACACGAATGATAACAATGTTAACATAGTAGCTAACAATAATACTAATGGTATTAATATATGACTTTCATTATCTCAATGTATCTAAAGAGGTTATTTTATTGAAAAGACTTTCAGTGTTGCTTTAATCACTGCAAATCCATAACAGATGTTTATAATACCAAATTTATCCTCTGTGTCTGACTGATACACAATCAAATACATTCTATTCAATTTATAATATAATCAAGAAAAAAAAAATAGAAGGAAATTGGCATCATCCAAAAGTATAGAGTAACTTGCACTGACTTATCTAAATAGAACACAACCAAGTTTGGAGAATGCCTAAAATAATAATTCAGGCTTCTGTAGTTTTTCATTTACAAAACAATATCTACATGTACAAAAAAAGAAAAAAGAAAGAAAGAAAAAATCTTTGTCACCATTAAATAGAACTTTTTCTCCTCTTAGTTTTTACCCTACATGATAGATTATATTTCTAACTGACCTCATCTGATGAGAAAATTATGACATCACACAGATATTGAAACTGATGGGTTATTATGTGTTTCAATATTATATTAAAAATTGTAACTTACAAATGTTTTTTTTTCTCCTTTTACTTAACTTCTATCATTTACCAAGATTTATTTACTGGAAGGCATCCTTTCTAGTAAATAAGTTCATTAAGACTACACAAACCAACTTTCATCTGAAGGAGACAACAGCTGTTGCAAATACAGGAACCAACAAGGTCCTTAGTTTAGTTTTAAACTTAGCATAAAACAAAAGTATACTTTTTTTAAAAATAAAGCCATACCAATTTTTTTCTTGCACAGTGCGCCTGCTGATAATTGCCAGTGGATGGTTAATGGTTAGAATAAATAAATGCGCTGGACATCAAAGGTCATATAGCACTATAACAAAGAATTGTGGCAAAAAGGGTAGAAATGGGTCAATGTTTAGGATACAATGCATTAGTTGTCAAAGGTTGTACAGCACTGAAAGATCCCCCAAGTATTCATGGCAGGATACGTGTGGATGCTTTGTTGACAAAGGGGGGGGGGGGGGGCTGTGGGCTGCAACCCCCCAGTGTGTTCATTACAGTTGACTCAACACGGACCAATTCTATGTATATCATTTATGTCTTACTGGTATCTTTCATGCCCTCCCCTGCAATTGGGGCCAAGACTTGAGAAGTTGCAGGTTTCTGAGGCAATGGGTAGTAGCAGTGAGTGAGAGGAATCTATCAATACCCACTATCATCGTGATTGCGTGAAGGTATTCTAAATATTTATTGTAATTAAGCTATAGATATAAAATGAAAAGAAAGCAAGACCAATCACAACAATAGTGATATCAATTGATTCCTCTAAGCCTCTACTACCCATATATGTAGGACATTTGCTGCAGAACCTGCACAACCCCTCCAAACCCCCACATTTCTAGCCCCAATAGCATGGGAGGGCAGGAATGGTACCAGGGAGATTGTGGGGTAATATATGTATAATACACACAAATAATATCATGCCATGCCCACTGTGAGTTTGCTTTATTCATTGTTTTTACACATAGATAACTACACTTGTACTAAGTCACCAATGACCCAATTACGAGTACTGCCTGTCTCGCCCATTTACCCTTTTCCTTGATTTACGAAAATATTCAATGTTATCTAATTTTGTTGTTACTAATGTTTACAACATTATAGTAATTATAATATCTATAACAAAAATAACACAATTGATATTCATAGCATTAGTAAAAAAAAAAAAGAAAAAAAAGAAATAGAAAAAGAAAAAAGTTTTCCCTCCAATTCAAGAACAGGTGAAATCAGGTAAGGTGATAATTGACTCCTTTGTGGCTACGCATTAGCACAGCCATCTATGTACAGAGACATTTCACAAAAAAATAAAAAATGAGCACTGCATTTTCCCGGCGGGAATCCAGATGACGTGACCATCACATAACAACAAAAATCTGGCTCGAGGGGGAGATGATGTGAACATGTTATCATGGGAAAATCATGCTGTGGGCCAGGTGACGCGAACTTGCCATCAAGAGTGTTTTGGCTGAGGGCCGAGGTGACAGAAAAAACTTGCCATGAGTGTACAAACCTCTTGGGAGGGTGATTAGACTCATTTGGCAATTTTGCATTATTCCCATCAATAAATGAGTGTGGAACGTAATATCCATGAGCCCTGACTGGTAGAGCACCGGCTCCATGCGCAGCCATTTGTGTGGTCAACTTGTAAAACTGCACAATTAGCTGCGCGGGCAAGTTATCGCGCGTGCAGCAAAGTTTCTGGTCTGGTGGCTATACAGAATAATTCATTATATTGTCTGCAATTCCCCAGTCCACACAATGGAAGATGAAGAATCTTCCACACATTCACAAAAGGATGAAGCACACAAGTGACATGTGAAAGTGCCTGATGCAGAGTCTGTCCTACACTCTATTTTGCCATACATACGTGGTGGAATCCTTGTAGTCCAGCACAGAGATTAAAGGCAGCCATCCCCTTTGGAGGGTTCACAGCCCTATGCATCTAATTATATATTGACGAATTCTATTATATTACTTATTTATTACCCCACAATTTCCCTGGTACCATTCATGCCTTCCCTTCTATCAGGGTTCTAATACTGTAAGATCGTAGGTATTGGGGGGGGGGGGGGTCCTCGGCATTTGTTCTATATAAACATATAGTAGAGAGAGAGAGAGAGAGAGAGAGAGAGGAATCCATTGACACCAATATCGCTTGTGCGAAGGTATTCTGAATATTTACCTTCTTTCATATGATTACCTAAACGTTTACCTAAAGGAATGACAAGATCACGAAGTCATACTGGTTTACTACGGTTATTTTACATCTAAATCTTTGTAGTTATGTAATGGATACACGACATACATGCTTGCAATCACAACACCAACAACAAAATGAGATAAATCATCGATAAAATTGGTCAATTTACCTCTAATGTGAGACAAGGTTCTTCTTCTTCTTTCTTGTTATAGGGTTTTAGATGACTGTTGTCTATATCCCCTGGATCTTCTTTTTCTAGGCTTCTTGTTTCTGAAATTATATCAGATAATTTAGTTGTTTGTAGGAAAATCTTTGTGTGTCTTAATATGTAGTACTTTATCGTAGATGGTTGATCTGCACCTGTAATCAGAAGATTAATATCAATATCATTAATGTTTACTTGTCTTAATGCATCTTTTAATTTTGTTCTGTGAGAGTTGAATCTTGGGCAGTGTAAAAACATGTGTTCTATAGTCTCTTCTTGGTTCTTGCACCATCTGCAGAAGGAGTCATTTTCCATTTTCATTCTGTAAAGGTGTTGTTTTAGTCTTGTGTGTTTGGTTGTGAGTCTTGTGATGCATGTGTCTAGTTTTCTATACTTTGCTCTGGTCCATGGTTTTTGTGTGTTGTCTTTGATGAGATGATTTTTTGTGCTTAGGATTCTTTTTAAGTTTGATTCCCATTGTTTGTTATTTTTTATCTTAATTTCTTTTATTATACAATTTGGGTCTGGTGGTATAGACATGGGATTATTCATTTCATGGGCTTTCTTTGCCGCTAGATCTACAATTTCATTACCCTTTAATGTTTTTGTGTGATGGAATCCACTGTATCATAATCTCTTGTTTTCGTGTTGAGAGAAAGTGTATGTTTTTGTATTTCATATGTGATTCGTTTATAATTTAATGGTTTGGGTTTTTTTATTAATTGTAGTGATGATTGTGATTCTGTTAGTATTATTGTTTTAGTCAGTTTATTATTTATTACATATCTTAGTCCTTGTTTTATGGCAAATAATTCTGTGTGGATGATTTCTATTTTAAGAGGCAATTTCCAAATAGTTGTTATATTTTTGTTTTGGATGTAGATTGCTGCTGGGGTTGAATCTGGTTCTTTCATTTTTGAACCATCAGTGAAAATTCTGTTAAAGTCTTTATAACTTATATTTATTAACTCCTGGAATTGTTTTTGAATAATTATTTGAGGAGTATTTTTTGTTATATTGTTCATAAAGTTTATTTGTATGTTTTCTGAAATGTCGTACCATGGTGGTATTGGGGATATGTTCGGTATTTCATTTGGGTTTATGTTTATGTTTATGTTTATTTTTGTTTCTGTAGCTCTGTAAACTAGTGATCTTTTATCTCTTTGAGGGTTGTATTCATTTATGCATTTTGTTATTTGTTGTTTTACTGGCGTTGTGTTTGGTTTGTTTAGTATTTTTGTTAGTTGAATGCATTCAAGATCTTTTATTCTGTGTGATAAAGATGGGATGTTTGTTAATGCTTGAAGAGCTATAATTGGAGTTGTTCTAAAACATCCTGTTGCCAGTCTTAATATTTGGTTTTGTAATGTTTCAGGTTTTTTTAGTTCAGATTCTTTTGCTGCTCCATAAATTGTTAATTCATATTCAATTTTTGGTTTTATATATATTTTATAGAACTTTAATAGAGTTTCTCTATTTGCTCCCCAATTTAGTGAAGTTAGTTTTTTCATTATGTTTTTTTCTATTTAAGATATCTACTTTTAAGTTTTCTAAATGTTTTTTCCATTTTAGTTTGGGGGCATCTAAAGTTAGGCCTAAAATTTTGTGGCTTTGAGTGTATTTGATTTCTATGTTGTCTATTCTTATTTTTGGTAGTTGGTTTATCTTTTTATTTGAAAAGCAAATTAGTTTACTTTTTGTAAAGTTTATTTTTAGATCCCAGTGATTGGCCCATTCTTTTAACTTTTGTAGTTTTCTTTCTATTTCGTTTGAGGCTTCTAATATGTTTTTATTACTTGTTAGTACGGTTCTGTCATCTGCATATATTATCTTTTCAATTTCATTTGATAATTTTAGATCATTTAACATTATACTGAATAAAGTTGGGCTTATTGGTGAGCCTTGAGGTACACTACTTTTTATTATTCCTTTTTCGGAAGTTTGATTTCCAATTTTTATTTGATTATAGATTATACAGCCATTTTAGAGGTTTTCCCGTGATGCCTAGTTTCGACATTTTTATTAGAAGGGCTTCGTGGTTGACTGTGTCGAAAGCTTTTCCTAAGTCAATGCATCTAGCTTATTATTGTGTTCTAGCCACCATATTAATCTTTTGGTTATAATATTTTCAAAAATCTTGCCAATGCATGAGAATCTGCTAATGAATCTGTAAGAGTTTGATTCTGAAGGCTTTTTACCCAGTTTTAATATGGGGTTTATTATGGCATTTTTTAATGATTCAGGGTATTCTCCTTTGGTCCAGTGTGAGTTGATATTGGTTAGGATTGACTCTAATATGTTACTTGGAACGTTCTTATAAAATTCATATGTCATTTCATCTGGTCCATATGCTTTATTGTTTTTGGTATTATTAATTGCTGTTTTTAATTCCAAGAGGGATATTTCTTTATCTATTTCATTAGCATTCTTTAAATTAAATAATCTTTCTTTTTCTAAGTCTGACAGAAGTTTTTTGGGTTTTTTACTTACTGTTTCCATATATTCTTTTTTAAATTTGTCTATTTTTTGTGCAATTTCTGTTATTGGCATATCATTTTCAATTAATGGATATTCTATTGTAGTTATTTTTCTTGTTAGTTTCTTTAGGAAATCCCAAATCAATTTTGATGGGGTTTTAAAATGTAATGTTGCACAAAACTTTTCCCATGATTCCCTTTTTGTTTGCGTTATTATAAGTCTAGCTTTTGCTAATAGTCTCTTATATTCTATTTGATTTGTTAATGTTGGCTTTTTCCTCCATTTATTATAGGCTTTGTTTTTTTTCTTTTATGATATCATTGCATTCTTTATTCCACCATGGTTTATTTGGCTTATCTTTGTATATTCGTGTTTCTAACTTAAAGTATTTTAGGGCCGTATTTTTTTATAATCTCTGAAATTTCTTTGAGTGAAGTTAGATTTCCTGTTTCTATGCTGTTTAATTCTTGTTGAATATCCTTCCACCCATCTTTTGTATATTGCCACTTTTTTTCATTTAGTAAATTATTGTCTTTGTGTGAATTATCGTTTATTATTATTGGTAAATGGTCGCTGTCTAGATGAAATGCTGTCCTTAGTTGGATATGGCTTAGGGTTGGTGAACCAAATACTAGGTCTATGGTGGATTCTTTGGCTGTTTTAGGATCTACACTAGTTATTTGATTTTTTGGGGTTAGCATTATTAGATTGTTTTGACTGATCCATTTTATTATGTTTTTGCTTGTTGTATTAAT